CGCCATGTGGTCACCTCCGGGGCAGGCGGGAATCGAACTCATGCAGAAGTGGCTTCAGCTTCTCAGTGCTGTGCTTTAACCCGCTGCGCCACCAGGGAGGGCCTGACATACTTACTTTTTAAAAAGTGTTCTGTGTTTATGTTTTATTCTTTTCTAACTTTTATGGAGAGCTAAAATAAAAACCCAACATTCTTTGGGAGAAGACAAAGTTCTGGTAACCCACTCTGCCATGGCCATCAGCAATTATAGTCAAAGACTAGCTGTACCTTTTGAATAGCAAGAGTTCTTAGATTGGACACAGCCCCTCTCTAGGCTCACTGGAATTATTTAAGACTGTTGCTCAGTCCCTTAAGCAAGTGAACATGCACCCATTCTGGCAGCTAGCTTCCCAGATCAGGAGGCTGCTAGCAAAGATGCAGGCAGTGAAACAGAAAGTCAGATGACTTGTCCCTTAAGGGGGTCCATGATCTGTCCCACTGATATGTGGGATGGTCAAAGCCCAGGACAACTGTAATCCAGAGCAAAGAAACTAGCAGATTTTACTGAGAGGACATTTGAAATCATAAACAAAAATTAAAGCTATTTTTGCCACAGCTCACCATCTTCCCATAACCACATTGTTCTTTAGCCTAAAATTGATGACCGATGCCATTCAAAGATAAGTATTAGACAATCTTCAGTAGGATGACCCTTCCAAAGTGAGCAATGAAGATTGTGGAGGGGGGAGACAGCGGGAGAACAATGGTCACAGGATAGAACAGTATAGGCATAGCAATCACATAATTTCCCCAAAGAAACATTAAGATTAAGGGCTTCATAGAAGATAAAAATGCATATCAAAGGATCAAAAACTATGGGACGTGATAACTAAAATGAAGAAAATAAGGTTTTAAAAGGTTATTAAACAGTAGCAGTTGAAACATAGGTTGAAAGATTCAAAAAAAGAAAAGTATACTGCAGAGCAGAAAACTACATAAGAGAACCAAAAATGCAAGAAATCTGTAAAAAAATCGCTCTGATCACGGTCAACAGACCTGAGACAAAAAACACTGACATGGAAAAGAATAAAAAAAAGCTTAAGTTATTGTAGAGAGGAAACATGAAAGATGGGCACTATTGTTGCTAAAGAAGAACTCAAAGCAAATGCTAGCAGAAAGGAAAATATTCAATAAAGTCTTTAAGATTAAAGGGTATATTGTAACTCAGGAAAAATAGCCCTAAATTATTTATTCCAAGCATATTTTGGAATAGTTACTAGCATTCAGGGACAAGGAGTGTATGCAGACAGAACAAAACAAGTTTTATCTAAAGAGAAAAAATGAAATGTCTCGGATTTCTTGGCAACATCAGTCCGTAACAGGAACATGATGGTGCAATGTCTGCAAAGTTTGTGTGAAATAAAGTGTAAACTATCCTGTCATTTTAAGCATTCCCTAGAAAATGGAACTTCTTCTAAGAAAATATATCTCAATAAAACCCAGATGGATCAAAACTAAGAACTCAAGAGTGAGGAAAGCATAACCAGTGATAGGTGATTATTGATTGAATTGAAGATAGGAAGTAGGCAGAACCAAAAGAATTTGCGACAGACTAAAACACACATGTATAATACAAGTGATGGGGAAGTAAGAGGAGCTGGGAGAGTGTGCTTTTATCTTCTTTATTTAAAGTGGAAAGATACGGCATAAAATATAGTTTTGAGATATGGCATTAAAATAAATAATAATTTGACATCAGTCTATATCCTTTTTCTTAATTTCCCACTTGGGACTAAAGGGGTCAACGCTAACACAGCCAAGTGAAAGGGCAAGGGGACACACAGAGGCTGACAGCATTTTGAGAAGTGAGGAGGGATCTGAAACTGTCAAATATTACCCCCAAAGGGAGTGCATGAAACCTTAAAGGTTATTTAAATTATCATGAAAGCCATTTCTAGGTTGAAGTAAGTTTAGTTTTGAGTTGTACAAGAGTATGATTGAATTTTTGTACTAAGATACTGTGAAGGTTTGGTTTAAAGAAAACTATAACAATTTTTATATTTCTGAAAAAGTAAATATATATACATGCACATATAAATATATGTACCTATATGTTTGGATTTTTATAATAGCTTTTTATATGTGTGTGTATATATCTATATGAATGAGTGATCTTAATATGTATGATTTTAATTTGGTTTTCTTATAGTACATTAGATGCAGAAAATAGTGAAAACTTCAGTAATCAGCACACACACATTTATTACATTTGTAGACAAAGCAGTGAAATCCAAAAGCAGTCATGGTAGTTGGTGACTAAGTATGGACAACAATCTAATTTTATTTTGGAGTGAGGTATTATAGAAGTTTACAGTCTTCATCTAGTCATCATACTTACAAAAGGAATCACACTGGGGATATGACTTTTAAAATACAGTTAATTACCTAAGCAAACTGCATAATAATAATGTCCATCCCATTTCTTAACAAGACAAAAACCATAATTTCTCCAGTCAGCTCTAGTATTTATTATCCCTTGTGCTAAATAAAAATGGAAAATGCCCAGAAATAAATAAGGTATTTTGGTAAAAGTAGTCTAAAAGTGGAAAAACAAAGAAAAGTATATATCTTATTTACATGACATTTCATTATATGAATTCATTATATAATTTATTACATAGATTTCATTATATAAAATGTGAAACATACAATTATACATGAGAGTTATGTGCTCAGCTTTCCCCACCTTGCCAAGCAACATAATCTGACTGGAGGTGTCAGGTTTAAGAGCTCAGTTTTACAAGGCTGCCTGACTTCAAATGTCAATCACAGGCCCAGGTTGTCACATGGGATTTTGACCAACAGGCTATCTATGGGACATTCCACAGAACCCGCCATGACAGAGAAGGAGCAAGGTGCTTCAAGCACTCTTCCAACCCTTATATGTGTTTCCTCACTGTGAAGCTCTCCAAATCCTATCCCACCCTTTTTTTTAAAAGATTTATTTTTTTATTAATGCATACAGAACTGGGGTACAAGCCAGAGGTGCAGGGACAGTGAAAGGCTTCACCAGAGACAGAGTGGGGAGCAGAACAGGCAGATTGACAAAGTACACTGCTGAGGGGAGCAGCGGGCGAGACAGGAGAGGTCTGCACCACTCAGTCACTGCCCTTGCTGCGTATCCAACTCAAGTTGGCTTGATTCATAGTGCTGTGCTTTAGCCCATTGCGCCACCAGGGAGGACCCAAATAGTGTCCTTTCTGAGTTTTTATAAAGACTTTATCACATAGACATGATTGATTGAATCATTGATCACTGGTGATTTGTCCAACCTCCACCTCCCTACCCCTTTCCTGGAAATCATTGAGTGGGAATGAAGATTCCAACCCTCTATTCATGGTTAGTTCCCCCTCGTAAACAGTCCCATCTTCAGGGGATTTTTCAAAACTTATTTCATTAACATAAGCTCAGTAATAGTGGAAAGAGTCTTGTTATAAATAGCAACATACACTTTCACCTTAAAGGCTCTGAAGTGATTTCAGGAAGTGAGGACAGGAGACCAAATACTACTAACAGAAGATATTTCCATCACTATTATTGCTTTGGAAATTCCAAGAGTTCTGGTTGTGGAGAGTCAGAAATTGTGGACAGAAACCAAACAAATGAAAAAACCAAACAAATATATTTGCTCTTCTGAATGATCAAATCATTAAGATTATCAAATATATTTTTCTTACAATATACAATATATTTATTCTACATATGCTGTAAGCCTCAGTATAAATATAAAACATGACCTGATTGCCTACTTATCTAATATCAAAAAGATATATGATGAATGTTGTTTGCTTAAAATGTGAAGATGGGAGAAAATACTTTCAGACTCTTTTTTTAATTATACTTTTTATTTTTTTACATCATTCTTCATTTTGTGCATCTTTCCAATCTCTGTTGTAATCTCCATGGGCTTCCCACCACCAATTCACCCATGTGCATCACCACATCCAGTGTCAAGATTCTTTTTTAATTACTCAGTATTTTTGTGATGAAGAGGGAAATAACTTGAAAACCTTGTTGTTGTTTTTTTTCCTTTGAATTAGCACAAATGTGCTTAACTAAGTTCATAGAAGGAAAGGCTCATCTGAATGCTTCTTTTGTTAATGATAACCCTCATCTGGTAAAAATGAGAATGAACAGCCATATCTCAATTCATGAGTCTTTGGAGGTACACGACTCAAGGATATGATGAAATGCCCAACTGAATAGAAAGACATATGAGAAGTTACCTCTGTGTGGAGTATTCCAGATGCTTGGCTCCAGCTACATACCCCTCAAATTTCAGAAATAGTCTGAACAGAAGACAAGATCACTGCCCATCATTGCAAATATTTCACAGCAGCCTGAGAATTACTTAACATTTCATTGGGGTTGAGTTAAAAGGAACTAAACCAATATTTTGCCTATTCTTTGTAAACTTTCTCTGAGATTCCTTTCTGAGACCTTTCCTTAGTCTTCTCTCTTTGGACAGGTGGAAAATTCTGGTGATCCTTGGCTCAAAGGTACCAATTCACAGAATATATCATATTTTGAGTCCATTTACCTGGTGGTGGCAACCACGTCAACAGTTGGCTTCGGAGATGTGGCAGCCAAGACATCCCTGGGAAGGACTTTCATCATGTTTTTCATTCTAGGGAGTTTGGTAAAGATTTATTATTATTATTTATTGAATATAGGAAACAAAATGATACAGTGAGAATTATAGATTTGCATTGTTCAGCGCTGGTGTCAAGTGAAGTGTTAAAGATACACAGACTCCATTTTTCAAAAATGAATGCCCTTGAGTATGTACTATAATTGCTTAGGTACCAGGGATAAAAGATGGTAGTCTCAGGAGAGCATGCATTCTCTATTACCATCTACAGCGTCTTAGCAGTCCTGTCATTACATTGTCTGCTAGTTAGTCTTTCTTCAATAGAGCAAACTTTTAAGTAAGGTCTGCTCATCCCTACCCAAATTATTAAGCTGTCTCAAACAAGCATTTTATTTCAGATAAGCAATTGTTCTTGTTTAAGTGAGTAGCTGATCAAGGACAAAGAAACCCTTTTCATTTAGTGACTTTAACTTAAATTCTTTAAATCGTAACAAAAAATTCTCTACTCCACCTTTCTGATCTTGCCAGTCTACATTATTACTACAGTGCATTTCAATCATTTTCCCTTAATCACACTCTGTATCACATACTTTTATTTTTTACAAAGCCCCCAATAAGAATCAAGTCTGAGTTGGAAGGCCAAGTGATAAAACGGAATATGGGCAAGAAGGGTGCCTTGATGCAAATCTTTGCATCAGTCACTTAAAATGCTGAAAAGCATTTGGTTAAATTTTAGCCAAATACAAGGCTAAAAATAAGGAAGAAAAATAGTCTCCTTTAACAGCAGCTCTTAATAATGCCCCTCTTAATAAATAAAAATGTTTTATACTTTACTTCTCTTTCATAACCTGAGAATTTTAGAATATCCTTGAAAAATAAATTCTAACATTTAATTTGCTATCATTTTAGGTCTTATTTGCAAACTACGTCCCTGAAATGGTGGAATTTTTTGCTAATAAGAGAAAATATACCAGTTCCTATGAAGTGGTTAAAGGGAAGAAGTAAGTTCTTTACTTAGCTTTCAAATTATAATTTTTACAATTTGAGGTATTTTTAGTCACATATTGCTTTCTAAATATCTGTTGCCTGGTTTAGGTGAATATATTGCAAAAGTCCTCCATTAATTAAAGAGGTTTTTCCTAGAACAAGCACCATAAGAAGATAATATTTGCTACTTGATGCAAATAATGAGGTAGAGTATTCAGATGAGCAGAACTCAACTAAAACAAAAGAATGTTGTCATTCACTTTCATTTATTGATTTAAGCAATATTTCTGTTCTTTATCAGTAATTATTCTCTATATTACTTATCATCTTCATTTTAATCATAACTTTACATGATGGATCAATCCCCCCTACACACACATACCATCATTCCTGTCTCTTCTTGTCCCTTTGTCCCTTAACCCTTATTACCCTCAGAGCCTTAATGATATTTACTGATGTCTACTAGATTTTGAGAGTATTTTACATTATCAAGTTATCATCTTGTAAATGTCCAGTATTTGTTATTACTGTTTGACTTGCTTTATTTCACATTATTTTCTCAAACTTTGTCCATTTTGTTGAAAATGGTTGCAATTTATTCTTATATCTGTATAGTCTTCTATAGTGTGGATATATTGCATCTTCTTAATCCAATCATCAGTTGCCTATTTCTCTGTCCTAGTTATTTTAAATAATGCTGCTATGAACATCATGGTTTATTTTGTTGTTGGGTCTTTCATATTCTTTATATGTATTTCAATAGCGGGATTGCTGAGACATGCATTTTTAAACAATTTGAGCAAGATGGGCATTCATTTTACTTTAAAGATTTGTTAAAATTGATTTGTAAATCAAGAGGTAAAATAGAGTTTATACTTGTCTTAAACTGTTCTCAACACAGTTGAATGAAAACCATGATAGTTCAAGGAGTATGACAGGACATTAAAAGTAAATAATGAAATGAATTAGAACAATTCAATAAACTTGATAAGCCAAAGTCTGACCCAGTTCATCGTGAGGAAGGGATCTAGAATACATGCAAAGAAAGCCAATAGAGTCTGAAAAATTGAAGGTAAAGTGTCTAAAAATGCTTATTTTTCATTTATGTATCAGGGTGTATGCCAGAGGTGTGGGGGTGAGAAGATTCACCAGAGATAGAGTGGGCGGGGTACAGAATAGTCATATTTACTGAAATACACTGCTAAGGGGAGCAGTGGCTGAGACAGGAGCAGTTTGCTTCACTTTATGTGGGTTAGCTCGATGGCCAGGGATTGAACACAAGCCAGAGTGATGACAGTGCTGAGACTCAACCCATAGGCAACCAGGGAGGTCCATTCCTTACATGTTTTTGCACCCTAGGTTCATTGTGGTCTGTGGAAACATCACCGTGGACAGTGTGACGGCTTTCCTGAGGAACTTTCTCCGCCATAAGTCAGGGGAGATCTCCACGGAGATAGTTTTTCTAGGAGAGTAAGTGTATTTGTGTGGTACATGGGCTCTAATTTAATGCTGAAATTTGTGTGAATATTTTTAGTGGAGGAAACTTACCCTGTCATACTTTCAGAAGTTACAGGAAATAATAGACAAAAGGGAAAGGAACAGCAACCTGATGATCAGAGTTAACTTTTGGAAATATTTTGAAGTATATCTTGGAGGATGCTTTTCTGTGTAGGTCCTAATATTATTTTCATGGTTCTGCATAATTTAGGTTTTATACTTACTAGTAGAGTAATTTTGTGAACATGTCTGGTACACTTTATAGTTATTATTAATTCACAGAATTGGAAATGTAAAATTCAAATACAGAAACAGTAACAATTAATTTTGCTGATGTTTTTGTTCTCTGCAGTTTACCTTTCCACAAGCTGAGTCCAAATCAAATAGTTTGTAAAACACTGGGAAATTCATATTTTGTACAAAAAGATCTTTAAATAGGTAAAATAGTTTCTTGTTTTATTTTGTCATTTTGTTTTCTAGTGAGATTGAACAATATCTGTGTTTTGAAAATTTGCTTTTCCTTTTGAAATGCCTCATATCTTTTATCCTCTTTCTGTTAGGATGATCATATGCTACTGGATGGATTTTTAATATATTTGATGTTATCTCTTTCATGTCATATGTTGTACATATTTTGTCTCATTTACTTTTCATTTTTTGGTGTTCTTTTATTACAGAAACATTTGACTTACATGTAGTCCAAACTGTAGCGTCTTGCTTTGCTGACATTCTTAGATTTCTCTGCCCTAGAATTAACTAAATATTGCGCTAGCATTTTTATATTGTCATATAGCAATTCTAAATATGTAACCTCTCTGTAACTGGTCCTATGTAATCTGTGTGCACATCATGCAAGCTGTGTGCTCATTTATTTTATTTTTCCAAATAATTAATTATTTCTCTAGACATCAATCACTAAATCAATGCAGATTTGAAATGACATTTTAACTTTACATTGGATTATATATTAAATAACTTCAGCTTTTATGTACTTTATAGTTGAACACTGTATTTTCTTACACTCTGCTATAATCAGTCCACCATAACTGTGGGATTTCATATATGAAACAAAAATATAAATATTTTGAAATCATGTACTATTTACTATTGATAGGTAGTCAACACTTTTGCTTCACTTCATTGTCATGCCTATTTTTATCTTTAGTAAGTCGTACATTATTTGGATATTTAGTTAAAAATATTAAAAAAATAGGGCTCCCCCTGGTGGTGTAATGAGTTAAAGCACCACATTATGAAGCTCTCCGAAGCCACGACAGCAGAGTTCAACCCCCAGCCAGAGAGCTGACCCAAAGGGCATGGCAGACTTCTCCTGAACTGTCCGCAGCTCCCCTCAGCAGTGTATTTCAGTACATCAGCCTGTTCTGTTCCCCACTGTCTCTGGTGAATCTTCTCAACCATCACACCTCTGGCCTGTACCCCAGTTCTGTAACATAAGTAAATAAATCTTTAAAAAAAATTATAAAAATACCCAAAGAACTAAAACCCAATGATAGGAGGCTAATATTAACCTTAACTCTATTGTGAGCAGAGATCATAATGTGTCATATACTATTTTTTCATTGTGTTGATAATTTTTTAGTACAGTAAGTTATTATTTCAATAAATATGTGTGTAGTCTTGAAAAAAGATTATTCACAATATTGCAAAGTATAGAAACAACCCCACATGTCCATCAATGGATAAAAATACAATATACAAACACACACATATATATGAAATTCTGTCATTTGTGACAACATGGATAAACCTGAAAGACACTAGGTTATGTGAAATAAGTAGATAAAGACAGACACCATATAGTATCACTGATATCTGGAAAGTAAAAAGAAAAAAATCAAATTCTTAACAGTAAATAAAAAGTGTATCAGGGCTGGGGAAACAGGAAATTTGGTAAAAATATAATAGATTTTCAGATTTAAAATTAATAAGTTCTGAGAATCTAATGTGTCTCATGGTATTGCCAATGCTGTATTATTCAAATGAATTCAAATTTTCTCAGAGAATAGAATTTAAATGTTTCACCCTCCAAAAAAATGTAAACATGTGATGTAATGGATGTGTCAGTTAGTAGGGGGAATCTCCCATTACCGTATATTTGTATATCGAGTCTTCATTCTGTACATTATAGATATCAAAACTTTATTTTGTCAGCTATGCCTTAATTGTGTGAAAAAAAGACAAAAAGTTTACATATCTTAGATATTATTTATAGAATTTATAAATATAAAATTTGATTTTTTTTCTGCTTGTGGTATAAATAATTAAGAAATATATTAAAACCTCTATTGAGGGTGACAGACTTACCAAATTCTCTTTCTAGTTTTGTCAATTTCTTTTTTAAATATTTTGAAGATATTGGATCCATTGTGTTTTAAAAAGCTGTCTTTTTGAATACTTATTTTCATTTTATATTGACTTTCCTCTTACTTAAAGCTCCCTCTTTTAAATAAGTTTTAACCTGATTTGTTTTCATATATTGTAATTGATTAACCAAAGATTAGGTCCATCCTTGTAATCCGGCTACAAGTGACAGCATCACCTAGCCATGTAAATTAGTAATCAAAGAGGCTTGTTATCAGGAGGACACTAGGGTTTCTACTCTATGCACTAAGTAAATGTAACAATCACTAAATCACAGTCAGTTATCATTTTATTCCCCACTTTTGTCACTACATTGTTTGTCTAGGGCTCCTCCGTCTTTGGAATTGGAGACCATACTTAAGTGCTACCTGGCCTATACAACATTTGTTGCTGGATCTGCATTGAAGTGGCAGGATCTAAGGAGAGTTGCGGTAAGATTTACTTCTTCTTGTAGTTTTTCTAAGCTGCAACAATTAAGATCAGAGGATATATTGCACTTTCACAAGATACTGCTTGAAATCCTTAAATTAGGGAAAATCGGATGTCCTCTATTTTAAGAACTGATTATAGATGAGTGGATCAAAAAGATGTGGTACACATACACAATGGAATATTAATCAGCAATCAAGTAAGATAAGCATGCTTTTTGTAGCAACATGGATGGAGCTAGAAGGGATCATGCTTAGTGAAATAAGCCAGAAAGAAAAAGAAAAATACCAGATGGTTTCACTCATAGCAGGAGTGTAAAGGGATCATGGTGGGGAGGGAGGGAGCTATTGTAATAAAGTAATAATTAAAGTCAATGAACAGCTATAAACCAGAGACACTCTATGGAGGTGGAAAGGAGAATAGGATCAGAAATGGGGTGGGAAGAGTACACTGGACTATGGTGATAGCACACGGGTGAGTTGGAGGTGGGAAGCCCACGGGGACTACTCCTGAGATGGAAAAATGTACAAAATTAGAATAATGTAACAAAAAATAGACAAGTTCAAAAAATAAACTTATAAAAGAGAAAATAAATGAATAGAAATAAACAAGAAATAAAGTTTTTATAGAAAAAAAAAAACTGAGTACAGCACTAATATAGCCAACGACCTCTAAAATCTCCTTGACAACCATTGAACCAACCTCACTGTTTCCCTACAAAAATATTTAAATTATTTTCCCAAATTCTCTATCTAAAATATTAGTGTTTTATCCATCTAGGAGATCTGAAAAGTAGATAGCAAAAGGTGCATTTCATCATGCTATCCAGATGAGATCCTTACCAGGTGATAGATTTCTGAGAGTACTTTAGCTTTTTCCAACTTCTAAACACATAATGTGCCTTCTGATAGAAGAAACATGAAATAAAACAGCAGAGACCCCATTAAGGTTGGGACTAAAACTAATGAGCATCAGCTAACTCACCAGATAGCTTTCATTTAAGATCAAAGCCAGCTTCTCGTGGTGTAGGTTTCACAGCATCATATAAACCAAAAGACGTCTGCTTTTCTAATACAGAGCTCTAGAGAGTTGATATAAAGAATTGAAGCAGAAAAATGTACTGTAACTTGGAATTATACGCACCAATTCCAATAATTTTCTAGAACCTTTAGATTTATAATCCACCGATATAGAATGTCTGCTTATTTTGGGTCAAGTAGATTATTTTCTGAAAGGCAAATAAATATATAGGCAGCTGCTTAAAAATATCCCATTACTTATAACTAGGTAGATATCACCAGTAAAAGGTAAGTATGTATTTTACCTATCCTAAAGCAATCTTACATCTATCTAGCAACCCTGTGCCTGGATCCATCTGCCTGTAGCTCTCATGGTCCTAATTGTGTCTGCAGAACTATAATCCTGATGTAAAGACATCCTTGTCACAACTCCTTTGCAACTGTATCCTCTTTCTTTTCTTTTCCCCAAAGATTTATTTATTTATGCATACAAGACCTGGGGTACAGTCCAGAGGTATGTGAGGGGGTGGTCATTAGAGGAGTCACCAGAAGGAGCAAAACAGGCAGTTGAACTTAAATACACTGCTGAAGGGAGCAGCGGGTGGTCAGAAGATGTCTGTTGCACCCTGTGGGTCACCTCCCTGGCTGGGGTTAGCATCATAGTGCTGCACTTTAACCAGTTGCACCACCAGGGGAGGGGCCCTGTATCCTCTTTCTTATTGAAATATGCATGATAAAACCATGAGAAAACTCTAAAGGGAAACCCTAGCACATTACCTGTGTGTTTAACAAGATGGTTGTTGCTTCATATTGAAGAATAGGTGGAATCTGCAGAAGCATGCCTGATTATAGCCAATCCTTTGTGTAGTGATTTGCATGCTGAAGACACTTCAAACATTATGAGGTAAGAAGGTGGCACTGTGTTTTATATGCCCCAATACTCATTTTATTTGTACTGATTTTAAAATAAAGCCTAGTACATAGCACGTACCAAAAGATGTCATCTGTCACAATATTCAGTTAATGATATTTCAAGTTCTGCCTAATTGTTGTCCCCAGATGTTACAAAATAAATTTTAGAAGGGTATCCCAAATATCTGTTTATTTCTCCCTATATTTTCCTGAAGTTACATTTGGAAACTAGCTATCTAAATCTAAAAAGCAAGCCTGTAAGTAGCTGATAACTGCTCAGATAATACCATAACCAGCATCTATAATTTTATTTAGGAGACACCATAAAGCAGATACAGATGTTACTTGGAATTTGTGTACCAAATTATATTTTATTTCTTGGGTTCTTTTCTCTAGCAGTTTTGGCAAAAGATTATATATAGTTCAGGATGGTGTACATGTGACTATTGATGTATTTTCAAAATAGTGATGTATTTTCAAGATGTATCTTGAACTGTAAAATGTCTTTTTTTAAAGCATTGTTTACTATTTATGCATACAGTACTGGGGTGCAGGCCAGAGATGTAGGGGCGGTGAAAGGACTCACCAGAGATAGAGTGGGGAGCAGAACAGGCAGGCTGATGAAGTACACTGCTGAGGGGAGTGGCAGTTGAGTCAGGAGAGGTTTGCCGCACCATGTGGTTCACCTCCCTGACTGGGGATCAAACTCATGCTGCAGTGGCTGTGATAGCTTGATAGTGCTGTGTTTAACCCACTGTGCTACCAGAGAGAGCCCAAATGTGAAATATCTTGAGCAGATACTTGACTTGTGATAAAGGAGTCGCACTTTACCAACTGCTTGTTATAGTTCAAACATATGTGAACTGCTAGTCTCTTGAGCAAAATAAATATACATAGCTGCAGGTGATTTTATAAATAGCAAGAGATAGCAGGCCACACTATAGCAAAATGCAGTAATATGACATATATCTTATTTCTTAATTTTTTAAAAGATTTATTTATGTTTACAGAACTAGGTACAGGTCAGAGGTGTGGTGGGTGAGAGGATTCATCAGAGACAGAGTAGAGAGCAAAACAGGCAGATGTACTGAAATATACTGCTGAGAGGAACAGCGGGTGGGTCTGGATAGGTCTGCCATGCCATGTGGGTCAGCTCCTTGGCCGGGAATCAAACTTGTGTTCAGTGGCTTCAGAGATCTTCACAATGCGGTGCCTTTAACCTGCTGCACCACCAAGGAGAGTCCTATTTCAAAGATTTTAAATGGAAGTATGAGACAGCTTGTGAATTACTTTAATATATAGACAGCTATTCAGCCTCTCTATATTTTTCTATAATTATTTCTCTGGAGTTTGAAAGCAAAAGTATATAACATGGTAATTCCCTCCTTAAGATTGGAGTCTCCTTATACAAAAAGCTAACCTTTCCATAGATGTAATTTACTGCGTCACTGAAACAGTAACCTCTTCTGTGTGTACATCATTAAACAGAATACTTTCAGAGAACAGCATAGTGATGAACTTTACAATCTGCTACACACACATCAGTTAAACTCTGAATTGAATTATAATATGACCCACCACTGATGAGCACATTTGTTGTTCATACAGGGTGCTCTCTATCAAGAGCTATTGTCCTCGGACCAGAATCATCATACAGATACTTCAGTCCCATAACAAGGTATTGTAACATCCTAGTCTATCAGGTCCCCTCTTTTAGCCTGTGTAGCTAGATAAACTTAGTTCATGTAAGTAATATATGAACTTAATACTTTCTAAAAAGTTTTTCCCAATCATAGGTGGCATTTGGAATCTCATTAAAATCGTTAATCACTTAAGAATGTAAATTCAGTAAGAGGTATCTTTGCATACTTTAAAAGTGCCACTGCCTAGGGGCTGATTTCTAATCAGCCTGAATCTAGGTGTAGACTGAGCTATTCCCATCAGGAGCTAACAGGTCTTGGCACACCCCCCACTAAAATGAAAATTAACTGCTCACAAAAGCTTAAGAGATAACCAAGATCTAGGGCAGGGCTGACTGATTAAGTATATCATTGTCTTAGGCTACCCTTGTACAATGTATAGCAACCAAAGGAGAGTCAAGATAAATGAAGAACCAGAGAAACAAGAAAGTAAGAAAATGTCAAGAGATTACCTTGAATGAGAATAAATAATTTACCTAATAGAGAGTACAAAATAACAGTCATAAAGATGTTCAGCAAGAGTGAGAGAAGAATGGATGAACAAAATAAGAATTTCAATAAAGAAATAGAAATAAAAGAAATGAAGAGTTGTATCTTGGAAAAGATAAAATTAACTGTAGATAGACTAGAAAGTAAAAAGAGAACTCAAATACAATCAACAATGAGTGGAGACATCACAACTGATATCACAGAAATATAACAGGTCATAAGACATTGCATGAGCAATTATATGTTTACAAGGTGGACAATCTAAAAGAAGTGGATAAATTCTAGAAACATACAATCTACCAAATCGAACAATGTAGAAAATATGAATTACTAGTAAGTAAATTACTAGTAAGGAAATTCAGTCATTAAAAATTTCTAAACAAATAAAATTCTGTGACCAAATGAACATTAGGTATTAGTGTGAATGATCTCAAGACTTGAATGTTATCCCTGAAGTCATAAAACTCCTAGAAGAAAATACAAGTGTCCTACAGTGATTTTTGTTTTTAATTTAGCACCAAAATTAATGAAAGCAAAAGTAAACAAGTATGAACACATCAAACTATTAATCACTCTATGGAATAAGGAAAATCTATCTGCAAATCATACATCTGTTAATGTATTAAAATATAAAAATATAAAAATATAAAAATATTCAGCTCAATGGCTGAATACAATTTGATTAAGAAATAAATATGTAATCTGAATTGTCATTGTTTCAAAGAAGATATACAGATGGCAGTAGATACAGAAAAAAGAGCTCAACATCACAAGTCATGAGGGAAACGCAAATATAAATCACAATGAGAGCACTTCTACCTGTTAAAATGATTATTATAAAAAATCAGGAAATAACAAATGTTAGCAAGGAAGCAAGGATATGGATAAAGGGAAGCCCTTGTGCATTGCTAGTGGGAATGTTAATTAGTGCAAACAAGTGAAAATTTTATATCACTTCCTCAAAAATATTTTAAAATTAGAACTACTCTACACTTCATCAATTTTATTCCTGGACATTTATTTGGGGAAAAAAATGCTAACTTGAAAATAAATCTGTACCTGCATGTTTATTGCAGCATTATTTATAATAGCCATGGCATGGGAATGATCGTTTAAGTGTTCATCAATGGATTAATGGATAAAGAAAATGTACACACACACACACACGCACACACACAGACACTGGAATATTACTCAGTTATCAAAAATAACAACATCCTGCCATTTATAACAGCATGGATAGACATTGAGGGATTATGCTGAATGAAATAAATCAGAGAAAGATAAATATCATATGTGAAATTAAACAGAACAAAACAAAATCTAACTAGATATATAGAGAACAGACTGATGGTTTTCATAGGTGTAGGCTGAGGTTGGGATGTGACTGAGGAAAGGGTAGGGGAAAATGGGTGATGGTGTTCAGAAGGTACAACCTTTCAGTTACAAAACAAATTAACCATGTAGACCTAATGTATGGCATGGTTAATATAGTACTCTATTGTACATTTGAAAGTTGCTAGGAGAGTAGATCATAAAATTTTTCATTATAAGAAAAAACTTAAAGCTACTGTGGTGATACCCATTAATTATACATATTATAGTATTTTATAATATATGCAAATATCAAATCATAATATTGTATACTGACACTAATGTTATATTCAGTTTTGTCGTAATAAAAATAAATAGCAAAAATAAAATTGTAAATTTGAAGTCAAATTAGAGATATTGCAACTCAAGCAATTTTTTAAATTAAAACAGTTGACAATTATGCACTTTTAAATGCTCAATTTTTTTTTATCACTTTAGTTTTCCTGGGTACAATAAATGCTTTCAAGTAAATTAAATGAAAGAAAGACATCCATCCAGAAGGAACTTTCTCAGAGCATGTTTATTCCTAATGCATGACCTACTTTCTACCTGAAACAGATGTTTCTGCCAAAGATTCCCAGCTGGAACTGGACTGCTGGAGACAACATCATCTGCTTTGCTGAATTAAAACTTGGATTTATTGCCCAAGGCTGTTTGGTGCCAGGATTGTGCACCTTTCTAACATCTTTATTTATTGAGCAAAGTAAAATGGTAACCTTGTGCTTTGATGCTGAATTTTAGCTTTATCCCTAAGTCCTTACACATTAGGATCAGAAATGGGGAAAAAAATAAGAAAATCTAGAAGGCCCCAAGAAATAAGTTTTGATTTCTACGTAAGCTAGGAAAGGATCAAAAGAGATAGATTGAAGTCCCAGGTATTACACTGACCTTGAAGGAATTTTTCTTATTCTTGCCTAATATATTTATCTGCAAAATAGAAATCATAACTGCTTTCTATCTGCAGTCTATGATGTCATGAATTCAAATGTGTTCATAAATATAGAGGCACTTTCATATATTCAAAGTAGATATTTAAATAAGGATTATATTATTTTGGATAAATCATATAACTATAAATTAACTACTAATAAGCAGCACAGTAGTAAATAATTATACACATCAAGTAGAAACAATACAGTTATTTACAATTAAAATCTATTTTCCCAGGTTATATTTTTGGGAAAATTTCAAGCAGTTTTAATAAGGAGTTCACATACTGAGTGCCTACAAAGAATGATACCTTTTTAATGCATTATGCTTTCCCTTCAATGATATTTCAAGACTTAGTGATGGATCAGTGGAGGGAACTAACATGATTGTATAGTAAGTTATTCAGTAGTACAGTGAGTGTTGTCTGACCTACAGTTCGATATGTACTTACAATCTCCCAGACCAGTGCCTTTGCTAGCTTTGTCTGAGACAAAATACATAACTGAAAGGAACTTTTGCACAGTTTTCCAAATGCATCCCAATGAAATGTCCCAGGAAAGGTGTTATAAACCTTGTGAGATCTGTTATCCCCTATCCGAAGCCTCTCTAGAAAGTGCTTCCACTTCATTCTCAACTTTAGTGAAAAATAGCTGAGATGTATGTTAGAATTTTAGTTCTTCCTTTGTCAATTCTGTAGTTAAGCCTTGGGACAAACCCCCTCTAATGACATCATGCAGTGGGCCCCGGTTTGCTACTCATCAGAATATCTAACTCACATATTAACATCCTCTACTTGAGGCCAGTGTACTGCATGGTTGTGTGTTTCAGGTCTCTCCTAGAGAACCCTGGCAAAATTATTTCATTGGTGGACTGAAGAACAAAATCCTAACACAACGTCTCTCTGATGATTTTGTTGGAATGAGTTTTGCTCAAGTTTCCAGGTGAGTTAAGAGAAATGATTTTTCATTCAATGACATTTGTCCCAGCAATGTTCACTGAGGGCTCACCACAAGCTAGGCTCCATGACAGACACTGAAGATGTAAGAGTGAATAATCTGAGTCCCTACAATGTAGAAGTTTATAGTGTTGGTGGGACAGTTTCTTTTCTGTCCCAGGTGAGCCACTTGGCTCTGAGTTGCATCAGGTTGGATTCATTTACAAGTGAAAATGCCATCCATAGAGGGGAGACCTTTCCTTTGCTGAGGTGCTGGTGTTTAAGAGGCACCAGATACACAGTATTAGTCATGTGAACTAGCTCCCTTCATGCTCTCTGTCCTCACAGCTGCTACTTGTCTTCCTTCCCAGGCTCTGCTTTGTGAAGATGAAACTCATGCTGATAGCCATCGAACACAAATCCATGTTTCCCAACTACTGGTACCAATGAGGCTTTAAGTCTCTCTTTTATGAAGAATATCTTTTCTCATTCAGACTTTTCTGAAAAGACAGCTATTATTAAAACTTTTGCCACTAATTCAGAGCTTATCCAGTGGGCACACAGGCTTTTGTGTTATATTTAGAATCATCTCTAATGATTTGAGTTGGAATCTGATTATTGGGGTTAGAATGGCTACCCTAGTGAGAAGACAAGAACTTTGCCTTCCTCCTCATAATGTTCATGATCGGGGAAAGAAGAAATGGTCACATCTTAGATATTTTCTCTTAATATGATGTAGATCTTGTAAGCCTTAATTCATAATACTATGAATTAGAATTATTTGTGATTAAAATGTTTCCATAAATGCCAGCCTTAGATACAAAATCTGCAAAATGGGTATTTGGCCTACTGTGCAAAGTTGGCTCTTGATAGAGTGGATAAAGGAAAGTGGTAGCTGTAAGATGTTGCTGAAAGGAGTCCACACAAGCAGTCTTAGAAAAGAAGAGGTTTATTGGGGCCAGTTGTCCGATAGGACTCTAAGGGAGAAGGGGCCATGCCAAGGGAGTGCAGGGAGAGAATTTTTACCAAAGGGTAGTAGAGGGAGGGAGGGATGCAGCTCAGAAGAGCCAAGGTGGAATGCACAGATGGCCAAGACCCAGGCAAGGCCTAGGCGACCCCCAGTTGCACAGCCAGGAATGGGGGCGGAATCCTCCAGCTGTCATGACATCTACCTCATCCTGGGCACGATCATTGGCTGTAAGGTCAGGGGGCCTTTTGGCCCCCTGTGCTGCCCAGGCTGGCCTGGCATTACCAGGCATCAGCATTTCCTAAGAACCCATATTAGGGAATACGAGGAGTAAGAGAAGCTGTCATATAACAATAATAATAATAAAAAATTTCCAGGATAAAGAGAACTACAATGACACAAATAAAAGATGCTGAGAAATTTAAAAAAAAAAAAAGGATTGTAAATGGGACAGGGAGCACAAAAGGCTACTATGTTAACATACATGTTCTTTAGTGGAAAACTAACTTGAATTAAATTTTAACCATCAGACTGAACTCTGATTCTGATTCTGATTCTGATTCTCTAATATTTTGGCCTTGGAGAAGTGCTCATCATCTGTAAAATAAGGATGTCATGTAAATTAATTCCTAAGACCCCTGCCAGGCATTATCAGGAATCTTAGAATTATAGGGAAGCAGTCAATTTTTAATGATATCAGATAGACTACAAATCAATGATGTTATTTGAAAGACTGTACAGAAGAAAAGATCTAAGTAGAGAGGATATAGAAGGGTTCTGGGCAAAGAAATCACTGGGGCTTAATCAAAGCAATTCATCAAGTAGAATATAACAAATAGTGCTGTCTGATGGACAAAATTCTTTTGAACAATCCTTCCATGTTCAAGACTATCGCGCAGTCTAGGCTTAGGCACAGATGGCCTTTCTGCTGAAAACAGGGAAGAATAAAAAGGATGAAAGCTTAAGATGCAGCCTGGTTCAAAAATTGATCAAGTTTTAATCCAGACAGGAGCTTGTCCTCAGCTCAACTGAATATGCAGCTCAGCAATATTGTTATCATGGTGCACCCTTCAGTATATTTGCACAATCAAACAAATAATTAAATGTAGTCAAATTCACATTTTCTACTGTGTTGAGCTGTGAAGGGAGATAATTCCTACTAACTCTGCAACAGAGAGAATCCATTCTGGATGTAGTAACAGAATGACGTACCAACTATTGCCACCAAAATCAGCAGGAAAAATGACTGTGTTTTTATTTTCTGTTCCCAGTCGGCTGATACTAAATCCGCCTTCACAACTTAGGCTCTGTAAGAACACATTAGGGTTCTTTATTGCTGAATCTTCAAAAGATGTCAGAAGGTAATTTTTTCCCTACTGTTACATTAGGAGTTGGGGAGGAGGAGAGGGAATCCCTAGGGCAGAAGCAACTTCACAGCAGGCAGCCTGAATGCTTTGCTCCCTAGTCAGGTCTCACTTCAGTTATCCTTGATCTGCTTTCACTGACCAGAGCCTTCTTCTATTGTGCCACCTGTCACAATGATGTGTACACCCCTGAGCTCATTGGAAGATGTAACTGCAGAGGCAAGAGCCACAACTACCTGCCTGTCCAAGGTAAGTGCACTTTACATCTGGCTGTCCTCAGCCTCCCTTCCAGGAACTGGACCAGGGAATGGGGAAAAGAGGTTCCAGCTTTAAAAGACAGTTCCTGTATGCATAAACAAATAAAATCTTAAAAGCAAAAACGAAAACAAAACAAAACAAAAAACAGTATCAGATACCATGAACCTGGCTGAGAAGTGAGAAACATTTCACCACTGGGCAAACAAGACCTTAGAAATCAGTCTTTTGGAGACTGAAAAACAAACTAGCTAAATTTTGGGTGAGTGTGGCATACAATGCTCCTTCCAAATTAAGCAAGAATGGACCCTTGAGTGCTTTTAGCTCTTGATCACCTGAGGCAACAGTATATATCACAAGGTGGGAAGGAACACCTGGGAGTTTGACTGCTGTGCTGTGTTAATAAGATTGGAGCCATGGGTGGGGGTCAGGACTGTATCAGCAGACTCCCTTCCCTAAAGCCCTAAACCCCATTTTCAGTTTGACCCACCCTTTTCTCTGTCATTGAGGCCAGGATCAGTCTCCTTGTGAGCACTCTGCATCCTACAGCCTGTTCCAGCACTCCCATCTCTTTTCTCTATCAGGAGGTGTTACTAACGCAACACTTATGACTTAATCTAGTTCAGCTCCATTCCAGGTCAGGGAAATATGTCCCAAGACAAATTCAGTCATGTTGTCCAAACTTACAGGGGCCATTTAGAGGTACCAACTCAATCTCTGGCATGCTGCCTTTCAACCCATTATTTCTCATGTAATGACACAGAAAGTGTGTGTGGAAGGGAAGTGGGAGCTGAGCTCCTTTTAGGAGCCCAGGTGTTCTCATTGTTTTAATAATGGCCTTATTTACTAAGTCAAATACCATGGAATAAAAGCCATATCCATATGAAGTATACACAATTCAGGGGTTTTAGTGTGTTAACTGACTTTGTATCACCACTGCATAATCAATTTTTTTAAAGATTTATTCATTTATTCATACAGAACTGGGGTACAGGCCAGAGATGTGGAGGGTGAGAGGATTCACCAAAGACAGAGTGGGGAGCAGAACAGGCAGATCAATGAAGTACACTGCTGAGGGGAGCAGCAGACGAGTCAGGAGAGGTCTGCCTTGCCATGTGGATCTCCTCTGGGGCAGGCGGGGATTGAACTCATGCGGAAGTGGCTTAAGCTTCTTAGTGCTGTGCTTTAACTTGCTGTGCCACCAGGGAGGGCCTATAATCAATTTTTAAACATGCCCTGATGCCCTGTGCTAAAAAAAATAAAAACCACTTCATACTTTTTAGCAAAATCACTTCCCTGTCTCTTGTATCCATACCTTGTCAATCACTGGTCTATTCTAGGTCTATTTATTTACCTGTTCTGGATTTCACAAAGAGTAATATAATATGTGGCTATATTGTATCATATATTGACACCTCATTTCTTTTTTATGGCTGAGTAATATTCTGTTGTATAGATAAATTTCCTTTTGTTTATCCATTCATCTGTTTATAGACATGTAGACGGATACAGATAGAATATATTGCTAATGAGTATTGACATACCAGCATATAGGTTCATTCTGTCTTTTTTTTTTTTTTTTGTGAATTTATACCCAGATTTAGAAGTGCTGACTCAATTATTAAGTCTGTGTTTAATTTTTTAAGGAACCACCAAACTGTTTTCCATGGCTATTATACCACTTTGCCTTCCCATCAACAATACCCAAGAGTTACAAATTTATCAACAGTTGTTTTCCTCTTTTTATAAAATAGCCATCTTAATAGGTGAAAATTTGTGTCACATTGTACCTTGAGTTGAATTTTCCTGGTGACTAATAATATTAAACACTTTTTCATGAAGATCATATTCCTTATTTGTATCTTCTTTGAACAAATACCTGTTCAGATAATTTGTTTATTTTAAAAGTTAAGTCATTTTCTTTAATTATTGTATATACAAGGTCTTTATAGATTTTAGGGACACATCGCTAGTCAAGTATCTGGTTGTCAAATGTTTACCCATTTTTCATTTTCTTCATATAGTTTAAAACAAAGTATTTTGATATACATTTTTATCTTTGTTGCATGTGCTTTTATAGACCAAGAACACTTTAACTTAAGTAGTTTCTTGTAAGAATGTTATATTTTTAGCTGTTGCACTTAGGTCTATGTCTATGATTCATTCTGAGTTGATTGTGGTATGAAGACAGGATCCCACATTGTTTTTAAATGTACTTTACATTTCTTTATGGATGCTCTAGGAAAGAATCAATTATCTCTTTTTTCAGCTTATAGAGGCTATGTAGTTTCCTTGGTTCATGGTCCCCTTCTGTCCTCAAAGCAATATGTATATATACAAACACACACACATATAAAGAGAAATAGAAAGCTCTATTCTTATTCATTTTTGAAAGGCTTAAAATTTTATTTATGATGCATACAAAAACTAGGGTATAGCCCAGAGGTACAGGAGTAAGAGGTTTCACCAAAGACAGAATGAGGAGCAGGGTGGGACATCCACTGAAACGCATTGCTGAGGGGAACAGCTTTGCAGATTACCTCCCTCGCCTGGGATTGAACTCATGCCTCAGTGTCTGGCACTGGCTTGATATTTTCAACCCTGTGTCACCAGGGAGACCCCTCGATTCTTATTTAGAAGAAAGCTTTTAATCACACTTGGGCTTGGAAGGAAGGAAGTAGTTTGTAATTCAAGTAGCACAGACTTGTGTGTTTTAAAAGATTTAGTATACTTTCTTGACTACATTTTCTTTGTTTGCCATATGCCTATTAAGATAGTTTCTAAAGAAGTTAAATATGTGTATTTTTTAAAATTTATGTATTTGTCCATACAGAACTGGGGTATAGGCCAGAGGCTCAGGGGTGATGAGAGGCTTCACCAGAGACAGAGTGGGGAACAGAACAGGCATATCGACAAAGTACACTGCTGAGGGGAGCAGCAGGTGGGGTGAGGAGAGGTCTGCCACGCCATGTGGTCACCTCCGGGGCAGGCGGGAATCGAACTCATGCAGAAGAGGCTTTAGATTCTCAGTGCTATGCTTTAACCCGCTGCGCCACCAGGGAGGGCCTAAATATGTGTATTTTAATAATTTTCACTAGTTATTATTTCACTAAGGAACAGATACCTGTGTTTCCCTACCACATCCAGAACTAAAGACTTTCTTAACCCTGTCTTTACCTTCTCTGAATTTTTAAATTTCTCCTTAAAAGTCTATGGCAATTTTGGACATAGAAAGAATCTATTCCTAATGTAATTTTCTGAAATTCCTACTGACTGTTTGAGTCTGAAGAACACTGTCGATTAAATGGGCTTCCGTACCCTGTTTAGATTCAAAAGTTTAACATGGACTCTTTTTGCATTCTATGGCAACATGAGTCTTTCAATGAATGAGGTTGTCTAAAGAGGTGAAACTTCCCATTTATAATCAAGATGGGAGTAATCAAACTAACACAGTAAAAGTATAATAACACATGGCATTATAGTTTTAAAAAGTTAGTGTGGATTCATGCATTGACCATGTGTACCTGTAGACATAGTATTCAAAAAATGAATGACACACATTCATGCTCTTATGTCGGTCATCTTGCCAAACAAAAAAGGTTTTGTAATAAAGAAGAATCATCCCCTTTACTGAGCTGACTTAAGTGAAGTTATACCATAAATGATTTAACACAGGAAGTTATTCTATTCTAAATGGGAGAAAGTTTTTGTATAACAAGAAAGGCTCTACTTTCATATTTGCAGATAAGCCAAATTTTGTCAGTAAGACTTCAACTTACAATCTAATGTTTTAGTTTCAGTGTATTTATCACACTCCTCAGACTCTTTCATTCTTCCTATAATAGCGTAATTTCTTCTTCCTGCCCCTACTGATTCTCCATCACCTCACCGTTGATTGATGCTGACACATGCCTCTCATCATCTAGAAAAACCTTTATCTAGAGCTGAGATTCCTAATAAGGCTCGAGTAAGCCGTTCTTACCACAATTAGCCAGATGGTGGCAGCAGAGTACCATGAAACACTCAAGGGTCTGATCACTAGGGAGGAGGATGTATGTGAAATTGAATCTTGAGCATTAGTTCTAAGAAGAAGTCACCAGAGGATGGTACTTCTTGGGTCTTATAATCCTAGAAATCATAATAACATTTGGAACTGCTTCCAGAGTACTAAATTTCAAAAAGGACTTTTAAGAATTTACCAATGAGTGACATAATTTAATAGAAAACACACTGACTCAATTAGTATAAACTCCAGGTTGACTATATTCACGTTTTCGAAGCCAGATGAAGGGTATTTCCAATCAAGTAATTATCCCCTTCTAATAATTATCTCTTTGTTGGGACTATTAAATTTAATTGTTCCCACCTGTTTCTTTCTCTCAGCGATTGTTCAGGAGAAATGAATTTTTGACCACAACTCTGGTACCGCTTTGTTAAGAGATTGGTACCATGATCTCGAAAACAAACAAACAAAAACCATTAATTCTTAGGGTCTCAGTGTCTGCATTTCTAAAGCAAGCAGTCCTTATCATATCTGAGGCCTTTTTCAAGTCTGATGTTCTATGATTTGTAAATTTTCTACCTTTGATTACTGCCATTTTTTTCTGAAGTTGTTGAATCACAACCACAGGTTCCTTATATTCATAATGTAAAATAGAGAGGTAGCATTGTCTTTGCCTTGGGCACTTCTTACTAAAACTTTTGTCTCCTACATACAGTTCATGGCCTTGTATTTCAACACTGGAATCTTGATGCTCCTAGAATAGAGACCCTCATGCAGGGCAGGGAGAAGGACTAGAGAATCTTTGCATTAATAGGATGGAGGGAATGAGCAATACGAAATGGTTGTTAGGAAAATTGTGTCCAAATTCCCCTCATCCGAAATCCCTGACAACATCCTTAATTCCACATTAAAGTATAACATTTTGTGGTGGAGTCACAGTAAAGGAGAGGGAGCTTGCGAAAAGGAAAGTGGAAAGGTGTGAAAGGTTCTAGGGACAGGGAGAAATGATAAGGAAAAAATGATTTGAAAAACATGAACTTGCCTTACTTCAGAGTTTACTTTAGGCTTGACCCTGGGTCTTTTTATAAGCCTCTAAAACTAATTGACCTCTTTAATAAGGAGTCACCCCAATCAGTATTCCTTAGGGAGAACAATTCCAAACCCAGAGGTTGCACTATAACTAGCCTAATGAATCACTAGCTTGACTCCCTAACTTGGCTTACAGAAACAGTTGTGAGGGCCTCAGCACTCATCAAGGGCCTTTAGGTAGGAGAGACAGTGGAAAATGTTACTACATGACCTGGGGTGGGGTCAGGAGCCACAAACCCAGAGAACTCCAATAAAAAGGCAAACAACTTGGTGTTAAGTCCATACAAGCCAACCACAAATCACTTGTATTTGTTCATCATAACAATTGACACAATTCTCATTCTGTATTTGAATGGGGCTGCATTTTCCTTAGTCCTTAGCATCTACTCCCCACTTTCACCCCCTTTATTTCCAATCCTATTGATTACAATAGCTTCTTCACTTATTTCCCTCGATTTAGCTTCTTTCATGCTAACCCATGCCATTTTTCATTGCCGTAGAAATTTTCTTGAAATAAAATTCTGATATATAAATAAAGCTCTGACTATTACGGAAATTTAAAAACAGAGATACATGTAGCCCCTATTTTTGCAAGAGCATGTTGTCTTGATCTGTTGTCCTGCTGTATGCTTCTAAGAGCAGTGGTTCTTTTTTTATAATACATAATATGACTTTTCAAAATGTTTCAATGGTTAGGAAGTACTAAATTTTGTAAGTAATTGCAGCAAATTAGCTATTTATTTAGTAAGTTGGAAAAGATTCAGAGTTATACAAGAAATAGTTTTCACTCATTTGAACTAAAATTAAAATTTCTTAAAGAAGATTAGAGGTAGTAGAACTATCACTGTCTGTATGGAAATTCCATGTATGAGGGATATCTTTCCATGGCATGTGGTTCTCTCATGTATCCAACGAAAGGAAAATGTTTGCCAATTGCCTCAAGAAAATGACTTCTTAAAGAAGGCGAAAGAAAATAAAAACGTTGGTCATTGATAGAAGGCCTTTACATTTTTTCCAATCATTCACAGGTCTCAGATGTCATGTGTTTTTCTGATGTCTAGTGCTTTACCTGGCAAGTGTCTATAGAATAGCCATAGAGAAGTCATAGTACGTTAATGGCAAGACATCAACATAAGCATAAACAGTTTGTTTAGTGTGTTATTTAAAAATCCATTCTATTTTTCTAAAATATAATGGAACTATTGCTTATATAATATCAGCTATATGTAGAATAAACAAAAAAAAGTCACCACACTGTCTCAGAATGAAATCAGAGACACTTTATTTGCTAATCTACAACTTGGAGGGATGGGACTTTATCTTCCTATTTTTATTTTATTCTTTGCCTTTTTCCCAAATGTTTGAAGCAGCATAGCAACAGGGGCCACCAAAGGTTTGCTGCATGTTCATTACTCTCCAGGCTGCACCCTGGAAAAGAAAACACGTCAAATTTTGGGGGGAAGGTCAGTCATTAGGAATCTAGAGTTGAAAGTTACTAAAAGGGATCTCAGTTCATCTCTGAGCTTCACACAGCTAACACTCAGCCAGCAACCTCACCAGTGCACTGGTGAGTTGGTGGGACTCTCACAGGGAGTGCACTGAAGTGATAAATCATACACTGTCTAAAAATGAAGAATGATGTTAAATACACCATATACAATAAAAAATAAACGCTGATACTTGCTGAAAACAAAACAAAACAAAACAAAACAAAACAAGGAGAAACCTCACCAGTCTTTGCAGGCTGCTCTTCCCCTTACCACACCTTTCAATCATGTACATGCTTCCATGAGAACAAAAGCTCCTGAAATTATACAATTCATTAATTTGCTTTCATAAGAGCTTTTCTTAAGAGTGACACAAAGGTGAATACTGCTGGCAAATATTATTGGCTGAAGAGTTAGGCTTTGAGATAGCAGAGACTTTCCAATTGTTCCATTGTTCGTAGGCCAGTTTGGACATGACTTTTACATTCTATAACAGCTTCTATCACCTATAAGAAACCAGCTAGACTTTAAAGATTGACAGTTGATAACACTCTAGTTCTCACTCCGGCTTTTCTTTAGAAGTTTTCTTCCAAAGCCATTTCCCCCAGGGCAATAATGTAACCATGAAATAAGGAAGCATCCCTCAACCTGAAAACCCCCATCAAACAGTTTGCAAATGAAGGCTTTGTGGATTACAAGTAGGGAGCAGTCTTATTCCAAACCTGCCTCTTAGCACACCTGTGTGATGTAGTTACTGTGGACTGAAGCCAACAAATCACATATCCAAAGGATGTCCCTCTTCTTCCACTGGATATTTTCTGTGGATTAGAATGGTTCAGAAAGAATTACATCAAAAGAAGAGGGATACCAGAAAATTTTTGTGGCTGCGTCTGTCTGCCACAGTCCAAAACACAATGATAGATGGGTTTAAAAGCTTGTCCCACATGAACTCCCCATTCTGTCAGTTGACACAGGCAGAAAAGGTCATGTCTCCTCTCTCTACATGGGTGGGCTGGGGAGGAGGAGGAGCTGAGATGGTTGCTCTGACTCTCTCCTTGATGACTTCTCAGGTAATCGCCCATTTTTATCACCCAGAAATCAAGTTAATGCAAACAGATAATGCAGGAACCATGAAGAGTGAAAGGGGAGCATTGGACTTCCAAAACATCCTTCAGATTTGTTTTTTTCCTTTATTTTAAATCATAATAACAAGTGCCAGTTCTTATTGGCCAACAATGACTTTCTTCTCCGCTGGGTTGAATCTGGGTTCAGGACTAAAGCAGAATGATTGAGGACCAACCTATAGGTGCAGGAAGAAGTAATAGCGTATGTGTAAGTTTTTTCTCTCTCAAAGAATTCATCTTGCTCTTTTAATCTATTAAATTTCAGACCTTGCATTTGTCTGCATAATCACCCTTTGAAGCCCCAGTATTATCCAATCCCAGAATTACTCCCATTTGGCTAATGTGAACATTTATTTATTAAAGATTTATTTATTTATACACACAGGTATAGGCCAGAGGTGCAGGGGCGGTGAGAGGGTCCACCAGAGACAGAGTGGGGAGCAGAACAGGCCGACTGATGAAGTACACTGCTGAGGGGAGCAGCAGGCGGGTCAGAAGAGGTCTGCCATGCCATGTGGATCACTTCCAGGGCTCCGGATCTGGGGATCAAACTCATGCTGAAGTGGCTTTAGCTTCTTAGTGCTGCGCTTTAACCTTTTGTGCCACCGGGGAGGGCCTGTGAATATTTATTTAGTTATTTCGAACATTTATTTTTTTATTCCCAGATTGGAGATTCACAGATACATTTTACATAAGATCAAGTTTCTTCTAAAGGGAGACTTTGCAATAAAGGGAACCTGGAAGGAAAATTAAAGAGGCAATGTCTAAAGAGAATGAGTTTAGCCTGTACAGTTTTAGAGTCCTATTGTGATTCTAGACCCTGCCTGTAGAACAAAGGCTATACTCCTGGGTAAGAAAGTAGGAATGATGAATTAGAAAGGTACAAAGCCAATTCAATACGTATTTTAGGCATGGCATATGGTATCGATATCTTCACAATCATTTTTCACCCACTTTCTGACTCTGTAAAGGAAATGAAAGTATTGTCTATAATTCAACCGTTTAGAACTGGTCTGTAGCTGAACATCTCTAGTCTCTCCCTAAAGTTCTAAATGTCTCAACTATTAGGAATGGTCTAAAAAAAAATCCCCCATGAAGAGATAGTGTGCCAGATCAGTAAGATTGCTTTGCTTTTGCAGGGACAACAGTGGTAAGGAGAAATTTGAAGGACTTATTCAGTGATAGACTGAGAAGCGATTTTTTTCAAAGGAGAATTACAAACATATTTAGCAACGTGAGCATTATCTCCAGGTAAGTCCCTAACATTTTCTGAGCATCTCTGGGTTTTAAAAAAAAAATGTCCATGAGACAAAATATTTGCTTTTTCAGTTTCTATGCTTACAGAGGGACTTGTTCTTCACCAATGTGGATCCATTTCTATTTCTTCCAATATCATTACATTAAGGAAATATGCCTCGCCTCCAGTATTATACTGCTGATAATCAAAGGTTGTATACCAGTTTTCTTTCAGATCACTTTTAGGTATTCTACATGTGTGTGTTTATATGTATATGTTATATTGATTTTAGATCAAGTTGTTACAAAAACATCATTGAGGTATGAAAAATTTTTTGCGAATATAAACACAACATGTGTGATAACGTATAAACTGCTCCAACCATGTTTATGGTTTCATTTATTCATTCCCATGTCTTCCCTGCCATAATAGAAGATTAGCAAGTCATGGATAATCAAAAATCATAGAAAATCCTTCATTACAATTTTACCAATTCAGTTTCACTGACTTTTGTTACCAGTTTTTTATTTAGCACATCTATAAAAACAAAATAATTTGGCTTATCTGGATGTTCCCCATAACCTTTAATTCCCTCATTGTCTGTGATAAATGAGAAAGTGTTCTAGAGCAAGCATCTGAAAGAATTGTTCCAAGTGGTCTGGTCCACCCCATGACTGGGGCCATCAGCCTTATTTCTGGCTGAAGGGGCCCTAAGAATGCTTTAAAATTCCCCACAAGTGGTCAGAGACAGTGATAGTTACCCACTCATATGGTCTCTAGAGATGATGCTTAATTCATTTGCACCTCTTAATACAAAATCAAAAACTTAAAATCTAGATAATGTCATACTGCTGACTAGACAGTAGGATATACTTCGATAGCTAAGTGCTATCTGGGGTGAATTTCTGTGGTGTTTCATCAATGGTGTTGGTCAGTGTAGTTGATTTAGTACAGTGTTAATAGGGTCAATGAAAACCCTGCTGTCATTTAGTACTGAGAAAGGGTGGGCTTTTGTTTATTTATTACAGGAGAAATATAACTCCAGTTAGCAAATTGGCAACCGATAGCAAACATTTGTCTTGGACAGCAAGGAGTGGTAAAATATTGACTAGGTGTTTTAATAGAGACAAGCAGACATTATTGGGGGAAAAAAATGTAGAATTTGTGGTATGTACTATTTGTGATTCATTTTTGATGTACTAATAGTATTACACTCATGTACCAAAAACAGCATATGATTTTTATATTGTTTGCTGACCATGGGTTTGATGCTTTTAAAGATATAACTTTCAGACCACCAGTGGTCTGGTAAGTTCAGAAACCTCTGTCTTCTATTCTTAGTACTTGAAAGTACAGACAGCTCTAACTTCCACAAAAGTTACAGTCTGATATTTCATTTCAGTCCTGGTGTCTTTCTTTGCTTATAGATTAAATGATGTCATAAAGAACAGTTAGGGTCTCAGATTAACACATAAAAGTCTATTAAAAAGATAGTAGTTAAATATTTATTTTTTGAATAAATAAACATTAGAGCCTGAGCTCTATTTCCTTGAGTCAAAGGATCTGTAACATGAAAGAAAGAAGATAAATAGTCCCTTTTCCTTTTCAGGGTGATAAAGTTAGATATATGCAAAATTTAAGATAGATAAATAAGTATAAATAAAAGTGCATCTCAACCATCCTGGAAGCCCTTGCCCCAACTTCCAATTTCTTTAATGTGGCCACCCTATTTTGGGTGAGCTTAGTCCTCACCCAAATTGCAGTACCTTAGTTCTGTAATGCCTACTATTATCTGCCTCTTCTCTATCAAAATTCACTTCAAGTAAACTGATCATCAGTTTATATACAACTAATTCATACTATCTTGTAACTGAGCAATAACACAATAGCCAGACTAAATCATTCAGTATTTTTAAAAGCAGGTGTTTTTAAACTTAATGGAATATTGATAAACATCAAACCAATAAAACAAGGAGACACAGACATTTCCAATCAGCATATGTTAGATCTGGGTCAGGAGAGAAAAACATCTTTAATGGAAAGATTTGCCTTCTTTGGACATTGCTTGAAATCCTTCTTCTATGTCTATTTAATTCTCTTCTGGTAAACTACATTGAAATCTAAGTATTTCTAACATAACTTCTTTCCCCACATCTTTGTTAGTACCTATATTCATAAGATCATTTTTGTCACACCATCCTTTTTTTTTTTTCTTTTTCACATCATCTTTATCTTCATAGTCTCTATGCTCTTTTAGCGACAGCAGTGATCATGAATAGAATTTCTTCTCTCTTTTGCAATGCACATCCAGGCTGCAGTTCTCAAAGATCAAGCCACACACGAATGCCAGCCCCGAGCATTACCCCTGTCACAGGCATGGACCCCAGATCACCATCCTCATTAGAATTTAAACTTCAGTTTTCACATCTATAATTTGTGATAGTCTTAGACCCTAGCTGTGAGGACTGTATGAGATAAAATGGTTGAAGTTGATGGGTAGTGCCTAATACATAGTTAAAATTGAACAAGGGAAAAGTGATTGATGTAGTTGTTCCCTAGCTCACTCTGCCATACTTCCTCTGTTTTTTATATTTCCATGCTTTTGCTATCAGTTTCTTTCATCTTCAGGAGAAGGTTCACAGTTCAAGACCTCCCAAAATTTTAATCACTGGCTGTGTCACTAGACCATCAGCAATAGGTTTGCAGTGAAGATCTAGAGCAGTAGGACCTCCCACTGGTGTGGTCACCTTATACTTCCAGTGCTGCGTGCAGCTTGTCAATGTTGCTCCAGAACACTTTGTTCCGTAGCGGAGCCAGCTCCTTTCTTTCCCCAGTGCTTCCAGCACAGCCAATTCCAGAGAACTCTGCACTTTCTGAGCAAATTACATTTCATCCAAAAGGTCTGCCAGGGCATGCTCTGCCAGGCCAGAGCTTGTTAGTATAAATGGTACATGACCATAGTGGCAAAATCCGTCCAACTGGGAAAAGTGTTTTTCTCCTGGCATACCCACTCCCAGCCCCATAGATTTATGCCAGTCATAGCTCCTGACACCTCTGTTCGTGTGGCCTCTCACTGTCAGGTTCCAGCCTGACTGTGGCCACCATACTCACCACTCACTATTCTCATAGAAAAAGAAGCTGGAGCCTTTCTTTTTATCTCAGTTTTGCACCTCTTCCTGAATTCTGTATCCCAGATGGTCCAGGCAAGAGCAGACTGCCTGTTAGCCTTAGTGAGGTCTGAATTCCTACTGGAGCCAACTTCCAGGGCCTTCCAGGGGTAGAACATTGAATATAAGACACTGCTGATGGTTCTTCTCTCTCCACTATCCATCTGAGATTTCTACAGAAAATGGCCATATGAGATTATCTGAGCAGGTACTTTTTACTTTCTTTCTCAGTAAGCTTTTCAAACAACTTTCCCTGTAGACATGCACAGGTTTTTCTAAGTGAGTCAAATGTAGTCCATGACTATTAAATTGAAAGTGTTCTCTGATTCTCACAATCCTGTATACTTATGGAGCATACTTATACTGTGGCATTCCAAATAATGTTCTAAAAATCCACATCTACTTATCTGATAGCATTGCCAGCATATTATCTTCCAGAGTTACCTTTCTCCAAGAATCCAAGTGACATTTTTGTTCCCAGTCCTATGGTTTCTTGCCTGAAAATCGAGAACCACTAAAGACACCTTCAGTTGGTGAAGGCATCCCCACTTCAGTTAGTGTTATTTGGATGCATAGGGGTCACTAGCCAGGGTCCATGTCAGCTATGGAATTTAATGTATATACGATATGATATGATACTATACTGTACTACACTATATTATATTACATTACATTATATTATCAATTTTCAATACAAAAACTAAAGAGAACAGTTAACACTTTAAGACATGTATCTACAAGTAGTTGTAGGTGCAGGAGTAAACACATATATTTTTTTTTTTTAGAACAGGGAAACTGCATCCCAAAGACAGGCAGAAGAATGACAGGAAATAGATGAATAAGAATTTGGAAAGAATGAATGAATGCTTTCCTTTAAACCCTGCAAATACTACTTTTCTAGCTCTTGTCTTGCACCTGTAGCAGAGATCAGATTTCTGAGAATCTGTGTGCCACAACTTGAGCAAAGCACCGTATCTATGGGGCAATTCATCAACTCATCAAATTGAACAAATGAGCTCATTAGATTACAAACTACACTTTACTATTATTGCGACTTAAAAGAGAAGGCAAAGAGCTTCAGACATCATAAAAGCAGTAGAGTAAGGCCACAGAGTGAAATCCCACAGATCTGTTTCTTTATTCTCGCCTTCCTCAACCTGCCTCCTTGACTTACTGAGAAGACTGTAATGAAGGAGGGACAAAGGCCTTTTTAGATCTCTTAGTGAAGCTATGGGCAGGTCTTAAGAAAAATGAAGTAAGGTTCTCCTAGGACTTGTCGCTATGGAAATTTCCATTGCTTTAGTGGGGTGGTGAGATGAAGAGGCACTCCTAACATGGAAATAAAACAGACTAGGTGACAACAGATCATTTTCTGAGCGCACATATTTATTTGCATTAAGTAGTTAGTATTTGTATGTTTTCAATTTTCTCATTCATAATCTTCTCAAGGCAGGGATGAGACTTTGTCTGTTTAGGGTCATATATAAAAGACCAACCAGACAAGACAAGGTGAGGAGTATGAGAAACTTTGTCGTTATTTCTAAGTAAAATTCTATTCCAGAACTAAGGTTGTGACTGATGTAGTTTCTAGGAAATAAAATATGAAGTCGGCTTCTGTCACAGGTTTTCATTCTGTGCCCTCTGTTTGACACCCCACCATTCCCTCTCAGCTCTTACTGTCTCCATCAACAGCTACTATTTGAACCATTATTTGCAAAAAAGCAGACATTTAAATTATTAATCCTTTCAGGACTTGCTTTTCTTTCATCAGGGATCAAAGACTTCAGCTGTGGAACAAAAACTATCCGGGGAACTTCAGACATCAACCAGAAAAAGGGGCATGATTG